GGATCTGTGTTAAATTATATGTCCTATATCTATATTTCAACAGAGATGGAAATTTAATATGTCGTCGGACAAAGCAAAGGGCACATTTAATATACCGTTCTTCCACGCTGGAGCCTATAAAAATAAAACAGGAATTAACACAAAACTTTTTCCTAAATTTTTCTAAATTTTCTCAATGTGAATATCGCTAATTTTAGGATTCTCCTTTTCGTTTTGTGTATTAAATTGAGTTTTATGTGTACGCTTTTAACAACAACACAATCTTCTACACGCGATCATTATGCCCAATTTTTAAGCATTTAAGGTTTATGCAAAGCATGATATACCTAATGAACATAATAAAATGAATTTACATACCTAAATGGTATGAATTTTGGCAGAGATTGAGATATTAGTATATCGTAAAAATACTTTCGCCAAATTTTGTCGAGATGGGTTCAAATTTGATGTCTCCTTTGATGTAAACAAAAGTCACAGAGGCTACGTTTGTGAAATTAAGTTGTTTCATCTAATTTTATATTTAAGTGCTCTGAATGTCATAACATGCACTCCGTAGCAATGATTTTTTTATACCTTCATAGTATGGAGGGTATATGAAGTTCGTCATTCCGTTGTAACTCATCGAAATATTAATATTAGACCCTAAAAAGTATATATATTCTCGGTCATCGTAAAATTCTAAGACGATGTAGCCCTCTCCGTCCTGCGGTCTGTCTGTCCGTCCGTCTGTTGTAATCAGGCTACAGTCAAAGCGAATTAAGATAGGAAGCTTAAACTTTTCACAGATCTGTCTTATGTCTGCATATATCGGTCCACGATATCTTATAGCCCCTATACAAAGGTACCCCCCGATATTCGGTATTTTGATGATTTTAGCCACATATATCAATAAAATTGTCTGAAATTCTAAACAAGAAGTTCTTTATGAGTATTTTATCCCCTCGCAGAGAATAATCTATATATGTCCACGATATCGTATAGCCACCATATAACGGTACCTCCCGATATTCGGTATTTTGATGATTTTAGCCCCATTTCGTAATGGAATTGTCTGAAATTCTACACAAGGAGTTTTTCGCGGGTACTTTACCCCCTGAAATCAAATTGTCTTTATAGGTCTAACGACACCTCCCGATATTCGGTATTTTGATGATTTTAGCCAAAATTTTCAGTGGAATTGTATTACAATTCTCACAAGGAGTTCCTTGTGAGTACTTTATTCCCTAGAAGAGAATTGTCTATATAGTTTCACGATATAGTATACCCCCATATAACGGTACCGCCGTTATATGGTATAACTAGCTGAACCCGGTCGCTCCGCTACCCCTTTTGATTTTATATGCATTCAAAATTTTATTTACGAATATATGTTGGATAAAGAAAAACAAATTTAAAAATTAAAAAAAAATATTGCACTAATTTAATGCGTTAATAAACAAAATCATTACAAAAGCAGTAACATGACATGCATACACGAAGGGTTTGTCCTTTGGATTTATTTATTTCATAGCAAATACCAAGCGTGCAGGAAACTGAAAGTTTTTTTAAGTAGAGTGGTTTTTCTATTGCAATTAGTGAATTCGAGATAGCAACATACTTCGCCGTAATAAGCGTATTTCAAATAAATTGTTGTGTAGTTTTTTAGTGTTAGCCTAAGGCGTTGTGGGTCAATGGTTCTTATTAAAATCATATCCCAATCTGATCCGATTTAAATATAATTTAAAAAAAATTACTTTTACACCAAACTCCGCCACACCTTTCATAATTCATTGAAATTGGTGCGTCAAATATGTGAAATCGGCCGAGAATATATATATGAGAGCTATATCCAAATCTTAACTAACTTCCAATTAATTTATCACATTTATTATTATAACCAAATTCCACCACACATTCTGAATTTCATTGGAATCGGTCATATATATCGTGTTTGGTGCATAATATGTATGAAATCGGCCGAAATATATATGTTAGCTATATCCAAACCTCAACTGATTTCAATATAATTTGGCAATTTTTGCTGGTGCCAGATTTTGTCTCTCTCGATTTGGGTGCATCAAATATGTGAAATCGACTGAGTATATATTTGGGAGCTATAATCACATCTGAGCGTATTTGAATATAATTTGTCAAATTTATTTTTGTACCAAATTTAGCCACTCATGCCGAATTTCGTTGGAATCGGAAATACGCATCGTGTTTTGTGCATCAAATATGTGAAATCGGCGGAAAATATATGTATATGGGAGCTATATCCAAGTCTGAACCAATTTTAATATAATTTGACTAATTTATTTTCTAATCAAAATCCCGTTACATATTCCAAATTTCTTTGGAATCGAACATACATATCGTGTATGGTGCATAAAATACATGAAATCGGTCGAAAATATATATGAGAGCTATATCCAAATTTGAACCGATTTTAATATAATTTGACAAATGCATATTTGTTTTAATTTCCGCTACACATTCCAAATTTCATTGAAATTGGAGATACATAGGGTGTTTGGTGCATCAAATACATGAAATCGGTCGAAAATATATATGGGAGCTATATCCAAATCTGAACCGATTTCAATTTAATTTGACAAATTTATTTTGGCTCCCAATTCCGTTACTTATTTTAAATTGCATTACAATTGGTAATACATGTCGTGTTTGGTCCACCAAATACATGAAATCGGCCGAAAATGTATATGGGAACTATATCCAAATCTGAACCGATTTCAATATAATTTGGGAAATCAATTTTTTAGATAAAATCTATCACACGTTTCAAATTTCATTGAAATTGGGGATACATAGCGTGTTTGATGCATCAAATGCTTGAAATCGGCCGAAAATATATATGGGAGCTATATCCAAATCTGAACCGATTTCAATATAATTTGACAAATTTATTTTCGGATTAAATCCCGTCACACATTCCAAATTTCATTGGAATCGAACATTAAGATTGTGTTTGAGGCATCAAATGAACGAAATCGGTCGAAAATATATGTGGGAGCTATATCCAATTCTGAACCGATTACAAAATAATTTGGCGAACTTATTTTTGTTCCAAATTCCGTTACGTATTCCAAATTTGGAGACTGTATCTTCAACCAATCAATAGATATGTGCATATAAAATCTAAATTTTTGGGAGTTACCTCCGATTCTGATGCTGTATCTCCAGTTCCAAGTGGAAATTCAAAAATGTATATAGCCTATGTTACTTTCAGGCGATGTTGCAGTATATATGGAAATTTTCAGGAAAATCTATTCAGCGGTTTTAGAGTCCATAAATTACAAACAAACAAACAAACAAACAAACAAACATTTTCCTCTTTTATAGATATAGATGAAGTTGTTTCTTCCAAATGGTGGGGGTATAAAAGATTCGGCCCTGCCGAACGTAGCTGCTTTTTTACTTGTTATTTATTTTTTTATTATTTTAAATAATCTATAGAAATTTTCTTACAATAAATATGTACACAATAAATATGTACATAAATGATAATGTTATACGTGGGGGGTACGTCGCGGAACATGGAAGTTGATGTTAAAAAAATCCGGCTGGAATACCATCCATAATGACAACTTAGAATTTTTCAGCGAATCTAATAAGTGTGCATTTCTAATAATTAGTTTCCATACGATTAATATTGCACCAGTTAGCAAATGAATTCAAATTTTCGGCTTACATCAAAATATTTGAAAATTTAATAAATGAAATAATAGTGATCGTATTCCTTGTGGGACTCCAGAAGAAACTATAATACTATTCCAAATGACAATTTTTAAACATAAGATCTGCGACGCAGCGACAAATTTGTTAGCTGTTTAGAGCGAATCAGAAAGTTGGCAGCGTCTGACTTTTGCATGACCTTATAGGTTTTAAATTCGTATTGAAATATTGAAGAAAGAAAGAAAAACAAATATGATGGTAAGCGTGAACTTCATGAAAGACGCAATGCAACACCAGAACCTATATGAGCTATATTTTAAAGGCCGTTTCGCACGTATTTAGATATCAAAATATGAATTTGTAGTCACTCCAACAAAGTCAAATGCAACAAATTTTAAATATTATTGAATGAAAGTACAAAATTTCGGAAATAGCATCAAATTTTACAAAAAGTTTATATTTGTTCGAATCGACATTTATTCTGATGCCACGGTCGATTAATACGAGCGGAGACCATCGGCCAAAATGGGAACCTATATTGGCGATTTTATACCTCAAGGATTGTCATCTACCAAATATTCTTAAATACCACATTTGAAATATATATATATATATATATATATATATATATATATATATATGGCATGTTCCTGATTTTCTCATGGTCATGTTCATAATAACATTTACTAAATTTTTGAATTTATTTTATTTTTGAACAAACAAATATTCGTATATAAAATTTTGAATGCATATAATATCAAAAGGGGTTCAGCTAGTTATTTATAGGTCTACGTTTTGGTACAGCCATTTGATACGCACATAAAGTAACCATCGATATTCGGTATTTTCATATCCTAGTCACTTTTACCCACGAAATTGTTTCAAATGTGGTATTTAAGAATATTTGGTAGATGACAATCCTTGAGGTATAAAATTGCCAATATAGGTTCCCATTTTGGTATGGCCCCCATATAAAGGCCTCATCCACTTTATGGTTTTTTTTGAAAAGTTGAACAGCATTATCCAAACGGTTTTACTGATATTTGTAATTTAAAGTGGAAAACGTTTGAATTCAGATACTTTGATAAAAATGTTTTTTCTTTACCCAATGGTGGAGGTACACTTTGTACTTATTTAGTATTGCACCCATAAAGCTATACGACCCACTTTATGGTATTTTGATAACATTAACTGCGTTTTTCAAAAAAATCTCACTGCAGTTTAAAGGGTATCACTAATGAATGTATTTTTTCTTATATCCAGCCAATATATAATCATTTCTTCATAATTTTATTAATAAATACATGCACTTTTGCATTTTATTATAGACTGAACCACAAAAAGTTACTAAGGTCCAACCACCAGCTCCTGGAGAACCACCTAAAATTGAGGTAATACGTGAAAAGAGACCGTCGTTAGTACCAGAACCTACAAGCAGACGTGGGTCATTGGTACCCCCAGATACTGGCCGTCGACCTTCGCTGATAATAGACGAGGTGAGTATAACCTTTGCTTTATATATATATATATATATATATATATATATATATATATATATATATATATATATATATATATATATATATATATATATATATATATATATATATATATATATATATATATATATATATATATATATATATATAAATGTTAAAAACGCACCTTACCAAAAAATTATGCACATTCCAATTGCTACACGCCACCAAATCAAACCAATCACAAAAACTTACTACAACTCTACAATCGATATACTTCAAAATATCTGTGTTGATACTAAAATGTTACATGTGAAAATTGTTTATGTACAACTAGAAAAAACTTCGTCCAGGTGAAGTTATGGATACTAAGGTAAGAATGTATTGAAGGTTTTTTAAATGTCGTAACGTTAAATATATTGAAAATACAATGCTAAGTACAATATTTTATCGAAAGACCAGATAACATTTTGTAATTTAAACTCATGTTATTATATTGATATGAGAAAACGTAAAACGTATAACCCATAAAAAATACCTTACACAAGAGAGCATAACAAAAATATAACGACTTGTTGCAATTTTTTTCTCAGACTCGGTATCTACGATTTGATGGAAAATGACTTAGATAACTTAAGGACATTCTAACTAAATACCTTAATGATCCGTATGTTGTTTTATCAATTCCACGGCGTTTTACATAGTATAGATCTTCGCTTGGAAAATCCTGCAATTGGCAATTAGGGGGTATGAGAGCCATACACTTGGCTCCTCAGAGTAAATTTCACCTGCTTTGCAGTCCATGCGGAAAGATAGAAGGACAGCCATTTTACTGTTGTTCGACCCTGTATCAAAACACTCCTCAACAGACTAAATTTTTACTGAAATGTCCAGGGTTGGGCACGTCTTACATCACTCGATGCCGCCAAAATTTAATTTATTACTTAGACCATGCTACCTCTTCACTATGGAGTTCTTACAGGAGTGGAGTGCAATTCGACTAATCTAGTTCCGTTCGTACTTGTTTCCCTTCCATCGTAATTGGTGCTCGTATACATAGGTGTAGTACTTGGATTCACCACTTCATCAAAAATTGATAGTCAATATTTTTTTCCTATTTACCCCCTGTAATCTCGTAAAATAAACTTAAAATTCTTAATCAATTCAGACTTTTTCGTCCATCTGCTGTAACCTCGCTAAAGCCCTATCGACATACAATAGGATGCTTAGATTTTGCACATGACAGTGGTTTTTCTAAAAGTTCGAATGGCTATATCGACCTACGATAGCCCTATACACAGTACCGCTAAATATCCGATATATTGATGAATATAGCCACGTTTTTAAAGCAATTGTTTGGAACTAAGTATTAGAATGTGGTAATTACGTTTTCATTTTCCACACCATATATTCAATATTTCTATGATTTAAACCAACATTTTTGATTGAATTGTTTAAATTGTTGAATATGAAGTGGTACCAATCCTTCTGGCAGATAATTGTATATAGATATACACGTTTCAACATGTCCCCAAACAATGGTACCTACCTATTTTCGGTATTTTAATGATTTAAGTTAGAATTTCAAATGGATTCATGTGTGTCACTGCCAATAGTTAGATCGTAGCATGGTTGGCTCGACAAATTGCATGGTGTTCTCCAAAAAAGCAGAATGTCGACAATGACAGCTATCCCTGTAAATAATACGACTACTTCATACACGCGTGTAAAAAGTAGACCATAAGAGACAAGGATTAGTCGAAAACTAACCCAAACGCAATGAAAAGCCTAACCGATTTAACATTGCTATGTCTTAAGGTCGGATCATACAACCCTGCCTTGCATTACATCAAAGTACTCCACGTGTAAAACCACAAGTGGCTTTCGTTAGAGCACTCCAGCATTTAAATGTGAATAAATATTTTTGTGTCTCGTTCCATCGCTCGTTACCGTGATACTGGTAGCGTAGCCCAACGTCAGGGAAGTGGACGGAAGAATACAGCAGCATCAGCAGAAATGGTTCGGAAAGTAAAGAAGAGACTTGATCGAAACCCGCGTCGCAGTGGCCGAAAAATGGCTCGTGGGCTGATCATATCGCAATATTCCATTCGGCAAAATTTGAAAAATGAGCTCGGGGTAAAGCCACTGAAATTCCAAAAAGTGCAAGAACTTACACCGCAACTGAAAGAAAATAGACTCAAAAGAGCTAAAGAGTTGCTTCGCTTGGCCGAAAGTGGTGAACTGCCGAATTTGGTTTTTTTTCCGATGAGAAAACATTCTTTGTCCAGCAGTTTGTAAACAAACAAAATGATCCTGTTTGCTTGTCAAAGAGGTTAGCTGATAATATGCACCTTTGGTTGACATTTGATATATCTTCTTATTTATAACTAAATTGAAGTAATACTCATTTTCTTGTATACCTCTGTACGTTCTAAATGTTATAGTTAATATCTAATAATCAAATTAAAAACTCCAAACGAAGTTGTTTAATTAAGAAAATGTGTCTATGTGTCAGCGCAATCGTAAAAACTGGTTGGTTCCTCATCTTCATTATGTTTATGTAATTTTTCGTTGATAATTGTTTCATTGTTGTTGTCATTATTTACAGAGCACATTTGTATGACACACTATTCAAAGCCCCCATTTACTGGTGATTACATGTTACGAAGTATTCTTGTTTTAGGGTTTGAGTCTGACGATCATGACGAGACATCGGGCATTTGGTTGTATGCCACGTACTGTTATGCGTTTGATTTAACCTTTAACTTGTGAGGTGACATATTTTATAACGTGGTGGTAAATTTTACCCCTCTAAATTTTACAGAAAAAAACTTTGCTAAAAATTTTATTTGATAATAATTTGTTTTTTAAAAGTAAGCTTGTAGGTTTTAAATTACAATAAGTAAAAAAAACATGTTTTTTTTAATGTAAACAAAATTTTTATTCATTGTAATAAAATTGAGAATTTCAAGGAAATGTGAAGAGAGGGTAAAATTTACCACCACCTCAGGAGTTAAAGGTTAACAGGGCATAAGACGAAGAGCATTCTCTTTCAATGGAATAAATACAGAAATATGTCACATTTGCAGCCCTTTATTTCATAGTATAGTAACAATAGTAACTCACAAATAACAGTGATTATGACCAACGAATACCAATTCTTAACAAGTCCGTGAAGAAAATGTGGCAAAATTTTCAAAATACCGAATACAATTGTGGGGCGGCTATACCAAAACTTGAACCGATATATCTCATTTTCAATACCAACCATCCAAGACACAATACAATTCAAATAATGTGGGCTGTATCGTGATTACAAAAGACAGACGGACATCTTTAAATCGCATTTGAATTTTGCGCTGATCATGAATATATATATATATATATATATATATATATATATATATATATATATATATATAAAATATATATATATATATATATATATATATATATATATATATATATTATATATATATATATATATATATATATATATATATATATATATTATATATATATATATATATATATATATATATATATATATATATATATATATATATATATATATATATATATATATATATATATATATATATATATATATATTTAGGGATGTTACAAACGGAATGACAGAGTTAATATACCAGCCTTTTCAAGTCAAAAGTCGGGCGGCCCGACTATATGTACTATATGATACCTTACACCACTATGTATATTTAAAAGACCTCCCGTAACAAAATAATTTATTTGAATTAGGTCATACCACCTATCACTATTTGGCTTTAGAGCAGTTATAGTTTAGTTTCAGAGGGAACTATAATATAAGAGGCATTTCCAATTCTGAATCGATTTTCAATAAACTTGACGGAGGCATTTTAATATTGGAAATGTACGTCCCGAAATTCACTCCATTTGGGCTGATCATTATTTGTATAATAAACCTGAAATCGGATTAAGGATATATATCCACATCTTAGCCGTTCTCGATAAAATTTGGCAAAAGGTATTTCTGAGCTCTATAATATATCTGGGACCAAATATCATTCTTCTGGAGTGCATATTACGAATGTGAGTGACTTAAAATCCCAAATCGGATGAAACATATGTATGAGAGCTATAGCTATATTTGATTTCCTCCAAATTTTATGTACTTGCTTCTAGACTGAATTTGGTGGGATGTACCAAAATTCAGGTCCTAAAGATATATTTGGGTCATTTGGTGCACAATTAACCCGAAATCGATTAAAGATATATGGGAGCTATTTCAAAAGCTGACCCGATTATCACCAATTTCAAGAGGGTTCCTCCTTGGGTCAAACAAATGTGGTTTGGAAAATTTCATCTCAATCGGATAATAAATGCGAACTGCATTTTGTTCACGAAAATACTTGGGCGGACGTATGGACGGACTGACATGCATAAATCGATTTAGAAAGTTATTTTATAAATATCCTCAAAAGTAACTATGGGTCTTTTTCGCTTCCTTCTCCCTGTTACAAACAAATGCACAAAGACATAATACCTATACCACTATGTGGTGTAGGGTATAAAAAGGAAGGAATCTAGTACAAAATATATTTGATAAAAAATACGAAAAGATATTCGGCAAATAGAATGGCAATTAATTAAGGTAAGAATATACCTTAAACGCAAAAAATGAAAGCAAGGGCCAGAAATGGGACTCAGTGAAGATATTACAGATATACAAACAAAAATGAATTATTGAAATGTATGCTGACTTCAATCATCCTATTTGGTAACCAAGTTTGTAAAATTTTTAGTATATTTAATTATGGATAACATTTTATTCGCATAATATAGAGTTTAATCTAAAGAAGACGAAAATAAGAAATGGACCGCTTAAGAAAGACAGCGATGATGTGTAAATGAGTACTCTATGGTAATTTAAATTCCTTCGATGTGTTACCTTTGAATTGAAACACTTTGGAGCGTATCCATGTTAAATTGATAAATCTACAAATATCTCTAAACATTGAGAACTTATAGCCAGAACTTAAGAATCAAATCGGGTTGTATTTAAATATTAGTCATTATATTATTAAATATGATAAGAATTATAATTTAAAAATAAAATGTGGCATAATATATACAAGAAAACTAACTAATATTTGAGCACATATATATGACAACATTCCTACAATTCACGTAAATTTAATATTTCTAGATATTCGATGAACTTTATTCGTAATATGTTGGAATGGCCTCTTTAAATTAAATTTCTATAAAAACAGTTGAACCATTTAAATCCCATTTGTATGTGTGTGTTTGACTGTGTTATACAATTATTTATACAATATGTGCAACTGTGCATACATGTACAGGTTTGCACAACTGACATGCACGTATACATTTAATATGTGCAAAATTTATCGTAGATGGTATTTTAACAGAAGTCAAGAACAGCGCCCTTAGTTTTCATTTGCCTATCAAAAGAATAGCTGCGCTGCGAAATAATTGAAACACAATTAAACTTTTTCAACTGTTATGTAAATTAAAATAATATGTTAAATTCCAACAAATAAAGACTTATTTGTAATAAAAACTAGAAATGGTAAAGAAGTCGTGGAAAATTTTGATAAAGACAAATACTAAAAAACTTGTCTAATACATTTTTTCTTGATATTAAGAATTTTCAGTTAACGCGTATGTAAGAAATAATCATTTTTGGGCTTAACATGTACAGAACCCTAAACAAATTTTATAAATCTGTAAAAAATTGGTGACAAATAAAATGCCAAAGATCGACGCTTCTTAACGAGTGCATTAAATAATAAGATATATAAATAAATTAGCAGGCAAGCATATTTCGTTCTGACAAAATGGGCGATTCCAAACAGGTCCATATAATATGTATACAAATAATTTTTATCTTATTTTTAGAGTTCCAGCCAGAATTTTCTCAAATGGGAATATGAGAATGGAAATATATTTTTATAAGTACAGTAAACGCATATATGCAAACAATGTTCCACCGAATTCGAACAGATATTAGCCAAAAAATCAATGGGAAATATTTTATCAGGACTTCTGAATAATAGTGGTTTTATGGCGTATTTGGGATCCATATATTACAGCAAACTACTGTTGGCATTTATTATGGGATCTACCAAATGCAATTCTTTCACAAAAATTAAAAATAATAGATATTTTGATGGTCTTCTGGTTTACTAAATAGGCGCAGAAGTAACTACAGCGTCCATTTAGGTTTTGACCGATTTGACTTTTAAACCACTTGCAAGCAGTACTTTGCTTCCCATATGATTAACAATTTAGTACGAGACATTATATATACCAAAACATAAGTAAGTAAAGGCCATAGTTAATCGGAGATTTAATGTTTCTGAAGATCAGAAAGATCAGACTACATTGAATGAAGGATATTGTTATTATTACGTTCATTCGCTCGAATAATCCTCTTGGAAATTTATGTTCGCTAGAAATAAGTTTTGCATATAATCATGCACATTTTTTCTTGGATTTTGACCAGATACGGAACTGGCAAAACATATACACAATTGGAACATAATTATGATTTTATATAATAAATATATAAAATTTTATATAATAAATAATAATAAATCAAAAGAATGTGTAACTAGTAAGCAAAGGCTACGGTCGAACGGCCTCAACCATAAGACAGCCTGCAATATTATTATTTACGATAACGTGTTTTTAAATCCGAAACCCTTTGGACTAGAATACGCGAATCACTCAGATATTGGGACACGTAATTTGACTACTTAAGCGATTATTCTAAATATCAGCTTTGATTCTTAAGGAGTTACAAATAATGTAAAAATTATATTTAAGAGCTAACATAAATTTCAGGGAAATACTGGTTTAAGATCTAAGAGCATTATTTGATCAAATGAACGTAATAATAACAATAGCCTTCATTCAATGTAGTCAAATGAGTTTCTGATCTTCAGAAACATTACCTCAACAACTTATGTTTTGGTGTGTATAATATGCATATTGAAAAGAGCTACCGTAACAAAAGAATTTATTTGAAGTAGATCATACGATCTATCAACATTTGGCTTTAGAGCAGTTATAGTTTGGTTTCAGAAGGAACTTATATATTATAGGCATATCCAATTCTGAATCGATTTTCACTAAATTTGACTGAGACATTTTAATCTTTTATGCCAAATAACACTATCAAGTGCATGATATCACTTGGGGAAAAATATATCGGAGCCGAGTTGCACAAAATTAAAACCTACGTCCCGAAATGCACTCCATTTGGGCTGATATTAGCCATTATTCCACAATACACATGAAATCGGATTAAGGATATATGTGGGAGCTATATCCCAATCTTAGCCGATCTCGATAAAATTTGGCAAAGGTATTTCTGAGATTTATAAGATAGCTGGTACCAAATATCGTTGTTGTCGAATGCATATTACGAATATGAGGGACTTAAACACCAAATAGGATGAAAAATTTATAGGGAGCTATAGCTATATCTGAACCGATTTTCTCCAAATTTGACGTACTTGCTTCTAGACAGAATTCGGTCGAATGTACCAAAATTTACAAAATTTTTAACAGATATGTTCCAATCTTGATAACATTTGGCAAAGGTATTTCCAAGCTCTATAAGACATCTAGTACTAAATATCATTGTTTTCGAATGCATATTAAGAATGTGAGGGACTTAAAAACCTAATCGGACGAAACATATTTATTGGAGCTAAAGCTATATCTGAACAAATTTGATGTACTTGCTTCTAAACTGAATTCGGTCGGATGTGCCGAAATTCAGGTAATTTGGTGCACAATTAACCCGAAATCGGTTGAAGATGTGTATGGGATCTATATCCAAATCTGGACGATATTTATACACTTATTTCAGAGCTGTATCTGATCATTGTTGTGGAATGCATAATACGCGTGTGAGGGACTTTAAACCCCAAATCGGATAAGATATATATATATATATATATATATATATATATATATATATATATATATATATATATATATATATATATATATATATATATATATATATATATATATATATATATATATATATGGGAGCTACATCTATTGCTACAAGCCAAAATTGCGTTAATCTACACTTGTATACCCCATGGGAATAAGATGCATTAAAAATGTAGTATCGAGGTTTAACATTGAAGTTTCCAGTGAACTCGGCTTACCAAAATGCGGAAGGAACCGTTATATTAAGTTTGTAACGTAAATTAGGCCAACAGTGCTTATTCTAGAATGTTACATATCCTATAAAAACGGGAAATGCCATATTATTGGCATAGTTGTCTTAGAATGAGGTTAAACCCTTATATATGAACACTAATATATATTTTTATTTTATATGTAATAAAATATATTAATTATTTACAATACTAAAAACAACATATTTCCAACACAAAATCATTTTGCTACTTAGTATTTGTTATATACACTTTCTCTATGTTCTCTATTCTATATATTGGTATTACATGTACTTAGCTAAAAAAAATTTTCTGAAGAATTTTGCAATGACTAACCAAACCAAATCTATCTGTTTCATGTTATGCCTTGTACGGAATTTTGTTCGTGTATATGTAATGACAATAAACAGAGACGACGCCCTTCCATCGACGTTCGTCGACCGAGTGTACAGGATCTCGAGGATTTAATTAATAAGCCATCGACACCATTGCACACAACTGGAGATGGTGGTCCACCTCAAATCGTGGATGTACAAGAATCATACTCCGTTGTCGAGGGTAAGTCTTCAATGTATTTTAGTATTTATATATTTTGACTATTAAACCTGCTGTCATCGACTGAAATAATATGATTTACATATTGTAATCCCAATGGAATATGAATTACTTTATCAAACCATTTGGTTTCAGTACATGACAGTATAAGGAAAAAATGCGTGATTATCGAAAATGTTACTGCAATTTGTATTATTCTTGTGTAGACTCGACAGCTTATATGACCGTGGGTGTAGAAGGAAATCCTGCCCCAACATTCAAATTCTACAAAGGTGTCAGTGAAATACTCGAGGGAGGTCGTTTTAAATTTTTGACTGATGGGCAGACAAACACGATTACACTTTGTATGCGAAAATGTAAACCAAACGATGAAGGAAAATATAAAGTTGTTGTATCAAACATACATGGCGAAGATACCGCAGAAATGCAACTGTATGTTTCGGATTCTAGTGGCATGGACTTCCGCGCTATGCTAAAGAAACGTCGTTATCAAAAATGGGATAAAGAACAAGAAGATCCTAATTGGGGAGATCTAAAAGAAACAGAAAAACCTATTCCCGCTCTTAAAAAAGTTGAAAGGGTAAGATGCTTGAATTACAAAAAAACATACAGAGACGAAAAAAATAGAAAACAACATACAAATGTACTTTGTTATGTTGGTGGGATAAATAATAGGCTATTTACTATTAGTCTACATTTTAATAGAGGTTTCGTGAGGTACATACATACATTAACTACAATTTTCTAGATTCCTTGCCAAACTGATTCTGTATACATACAAAATGATGCATGGCAGTGCGTATACATCATTCACAAATTTGCAGAAAAGTGGAAAAATATTTAATAGATTAAATTCAAATGTATACTCATGTTATAACCAATGGAATACACGGTTTGATTAGCGCTCTTTATTAAATGATGTTTAAGATAAATTTACTCTTATGGCTTTGATTCAGCGACAAGTAGATTTCATGAAATTTCAACAAAATAAAAAAATATTAAATAAATTTCTATACATACCATTGTGTATAACGTAATAAATTCGGTAGTTAATGCACAAGCATGCTTAAATACACTTCTTAGAATTCACTACAAAATGTATTACAAAAATAATAAGACACATTGCTAAATGTCAATTACTGCACTGTCATTAAAGATCAGCTTTCTGGGTTAACATTGTTTGCTACTACCGATTGAGGTTGGGAACAAATCGACACTGCAGTTTCCCACTGTGGAGCGTTTTGATAGCTGCCTCGTAATTGGCTAAAACTGATTCACACAAAGATACTATGTTACGCATCATTAAATATCAGTAAAAACCAAAACAAACAAGTGCTACCTATTAAGAACTACAAATAAATTTATTGAGAAATATGGAAACGAAATTTTAGAATTTTTCGCGGAACTTGTCTTTACTGTGATTTAAACATCAGATCTTTTAAATTGTGAAAAAATAATAGTATTTTTGTACACGACTTAAAACAAAATATTGCTTTAATATTATTGGCAGAGAATATGCGAGAAAATGACTGAATTTAAAAGAAAAAATATAAAACAAAAAAAAAATATTTTCATAGTGAATTGTATAGGATATCTGTTTTCTTTTCAATACAATATTTTATTTACTTTGTTAAATAAATTAAGGAACTATATTGTTTGAATTCAAATTATCTTTAATCACATTTTACAATTCAAATAGCCAGGGCCGTCAAGGAGACCATCATTGGCTGAATTAATACCAGATTGGCCAATACTTCAACCATTTCGACGGGAAGAGGTTCGATATATTTAAAATTGTAATAGGACTTCCTCGATTTAATTTTTTTATTATATATATTTTTTTTACAAAATAGTGAAATTCAGTATGTATTGGTTTTTGTGTTGATGTACTAATTTGAAAGCGTCAATTACTTTTACTTTGTTAGAATTTAAATTTTGGGATGTGGTAAGCATATTATCAGAACTTGGTGTTTTTGATTTGAGTAAAAAAGTTCTGCAATGAAATTTTAAGTTTCTGTACGATGTAATTGATGTTTGGGTCTATGTTTTTGTATTGGCCCCAATACGTCTAAGTATACAACTGAGCGTATATTAAGTGTGTTTTTTTGTTTTACTTTTTGTTATAATCTGACATGGCCAAACATTACAGTAGCCTCATATATGTTTTTTTGTTCTTCGCTATATTATTTTTTCTTATCCCAATTTTTGACAACGATTATAATAATGCAATAAATAAATGTTTGTTCTTAACTACCTACGGAAATCTTGAAATGATTCGAATATTGGAAATGTAACACGTATAGAAGCAAGAATCCTTCTTAAGTCCATTGATCGATCAGTTCGCAAAAGAGGGAAAGGACAAAAAGGTTGTTTTCGAAGCCCGTTTTTCAAAACCAAACTGTAAGCCGAAGTGGCTATTTCGCAAGGATGTAAGTATTTGTTAATAAAAGCTGAAAGTTAAGTCAACGAATCATATATATATATATATATATATATATAATATTTGTTCTGTTTTAAAAGGAATGCTTTCCGGGAAGCAAATTTAAATTTAAGAATGAGAATGATACGTATCAACTCATTATATCCAATCCTAAAGTTGAAGACACTGGCAAGTATACTATTGAAATTGGCGGTGTTTCAAGTACTGCATTTCTTAACGTAGAAGAAGCCGATCCTTCTTACACATTTACTAAGCCATTAAAAAAGAAAATGGAAGGTTATACACAACATGAAACTACCTTGGAATGCTCTGTTAGTAGTAGTATGGCTAATGTTACTTGGCTTAAGGATGGGAAGAAGATTGAATCAGATGACTCAAGATATCTTATTTCCAAAGATATTAACGGCAATCTTAAACTTATTATCAAAGAGTGTGTGTTGGAAGACAGCGGTTTATACACCTGCCAGTTAGATAAACAACCCGATAAGACTGAGTGCAAATTAAAAATTGTAGAGTATCCATATAAATTTGTTAAAGTGCTTAAATCACAGAAATGTGTCGAAAAGGATACTGTTACATTAGCCTGCGAAATTGATGATGCCACCGGAGAAGTGCAATGGTGGCGCAATGACGAAGAGATTAAACCCGATAAACGTATTCAAATTATAAAGGATGGGCGGAAACGAAAGCTTGTTATTAAAGATTGCAAAGTATCAGATTCGGGAATGTATAAATGTACAACTAATGCTGACAAGACTGAAGCTGAGCTAATCATAAATTGTAAGTATAGAAATAAGTGTTTGCCATAATATTGATATATCGAAAAATTTCAGATCAAAATCGATTTAATAAACAGCTTAAAAATACTGACGCTGTAGAACGCGAAAAGCTTACCTTGGACGTTGAATTGCAAGACCAGACAGCCCCCTGTGAATGGAAATTTAATGGTGAACCTATTGAACCTAGTGATAGAATTGAAATCAAAAATCTTGGTGGCGGTAAACACCAGTTAGTTTTCAATGGCTTAGAATTGACCGATGCTGGAGAAATATCTTGCGAATCAGGGCAACTGAAATCAACTTGCAAATTGACTGTTCGTAAAGGGGAAAGTAAACCAAATATCGACTGTCCGAATGAATTCAGTGGTCCAATATCTAGCCCTGTGATTGTTGATGTGCCATACAAAGGTGAGTTTTTTCACAGTCCTTGAATTTATTAATACATTCATTTCATCACAGTTTCCGGCACTAAGCAAACTCCCGTTGAGGCAAAACTATTGAAGGATGGCAAAGCTTTGCCTTTAAAAGATGTAGAAGTGGCTATTGCCGACGAAAAAGTTACATTCAAAATTAAAAAACCTACACGCGATATGTCCGGTTTATACCAAATAAAGCTTTCAAACGGTCAGGGCGATGATACAAAAGACGTGCAAATTATTTGTCAAGATGTACCGGATAGTCCAAACAATATTGATGTAACAGATGTTTATCAGACTTCCTGTAAAATTAACTTCAGCCCACCAAAAGATGATGGTGGATCACCTATAACAAAATATATTATTGAAAGACAAGACCTAAGTAAGAAACAAGCTTGGGAGACAGTGTCAGAGGTGTTACCTACAGAACCACTTACTAAAGATATTACGGACCTAGTCCCCAAAAAACAGTACAGATTCCGTATTCGCGCTATTAATGCAATCGGATCCTCTGAACCGGCTACTTTTAAAAATACTATTTTAGCAAAGGACCCATGGGATGAACCAGGAAAACCACGAAATGTCGACTTAACTGATTGGGATAAAGATCATGCCGATCTTAAGTGGGACGCTCCTGAAAACGACGGTGGTGATAAAATAACAAGTTATGTCATTGAATTTAAAGAAAAGTTCTCCAATGACTGGGTTGTTGGTAAAGAAGTACCAAGTGAACAATGTTCTGCTACTGTAGATGGTCTCAAAGAGGGGCAACAATACGAATTTCGAGTTCGTGCAGTTAATAGAGCAGGTCCTGGTGAACCTAGCGATAAAACCAAATCTATTACTGCGAAATGCAGATTTGTCAAACCATTTATTGTCGGTGATGATCTTAAGAATATTACCGTAAAGAAAGGCCAAACTGTACGTTATGAAATAAAGTACGATGGGGAGCCTGAACCAGAGGTTTCTTGGTATAAAGGAGCACAGAGATTGGTTTTTGACAATCAACGTATATGTTCACATCAAATGGAAAGAAACACTTCAATAACGATTAAAAAGGCGTTGCGTTCTGATACTGGCATCTACAAACTTGTTCTCACAAATAGTTCCGGTTCCTTGGAAACAGAAGCACAAGTTACAGTTTTAGATCGACCACTTTCTCCGCGGGGACCATTAGAACCGAAAGAAGTTCGTGCCGACCATATCACTGTTACGTGGAAACCTCCAGAAGACGATGGCGGTTGTGAAATTACTGGTTATGCAATGGAACGAATGGATGAGGAAACCGGTCGTTGGGTTCCTGCTGGAGAAGCAGGTCCTAATGATACCTCATTTAATTTTAAAGGGCTTACACCTGGTAAAAAATACAAATTCCGTGTAAAGGCAATCAATAAGGAGGGAGAATCTGATCCATTAGAATGCACAGAACCTATATTGGCGAAAAATCCATATGATCCCCCAAGCGCGCCCGGAAAACCAATTATTGATGATTATGACAATAAGAGTGTGGTCCTTAAATGGAAAATTCCCCCATCCGATGGTGGTCGTCCAATTATTTATTATATTATTGAACAGAAGGATAAATTTTCCCCATCTTGGGTCGAAGTAGCCAAAACTGACGATGCAGTACCTCAATGCACAGTCGAAAATCTCAAAGAGAAAATGATCTACAATTTTCGTGTAAAGGCTGTTAATAAAGCCGGTCCATCTGAAGCATCGGAGCCAACCGATAATCATCTTTGCAAACACAAAAATCGTAAGTATTTACAAAAAGTAGAGTATTTACTTAATCATAAAAGCTTTATAGTATGCTTATATAAATTAAAAATATTTAACTTTGCAAATTTAAAGCTACACACACATGAACCGTCGTATAGAACGCTTATTTACTAGTAGAATGTTTCCAACTAAAACAAAATAAAAATCAATGCTGATGCTATTATTTTTAACTGCCGCAATTTGGTAATGCTTTCTCTCGATTTAAAAGATTTAAATTAAGTCGTAAAATTGTTCATTTCTTTCCGGAATAGTTAAACCTCAAATAGACCGGTCAACGTTTAAGCGCGTTACCATAAAAAGTGGGCGAACCCACAAATGGTCTGTGGATGTTGCGGGTGAACCAGCTCCCGCTCTTAATTGGAGTTGGCGGGACAATGTTCCATTAACCACGGGAGATCGAATAAAGATAGAAGTTGTCGATTATCATACAGACTTCACCATAACTAAAGTAATACGTAAAGATAGTGGCATGTATACACTAAAAGCTGAAAATCGTTCTGGAACTGACACTGAGACCGTAGAACTTATCGTTTTGGGAAAACCCAGCAGTCCTAGAGGTCCGCTAGCTGTTAACGACGTTACTGCAACTGGCTGTAACTTACAGTGGAAGAAACCAGAAGATGATGGCGGGGTTCCCATAAAGGAATATGTCGTAGAGAAAATGGACACTGCTACCGGAAAATGGATTCGCATTGGTAGATCTCCGGGAGAAAAGGAACCGCCTAGTTTTGCAGTGTCTGGATTAAACCCTGGGTCCGAATATATGTTCAGGGTATCAGCAGTAAATGAAGAGGGAGAGTCGGAACCATTGACTACGTTAGTTGGAGTCGTAGCTAAAGATCCATATACTGAACCAAATAAACCAGGTGCCCCTGAAGTTACCGACTACGATAATGAGAGTGTATCTCTGAAATGGTCCACACCAACAAATGATGGTGGCGCTCCTGTAGAAAAATATATTATTGAAAAAAAACCTAAAAATCAAAAGAGTTGGGAAAAGGCTCTTGAAGTACCGGGTGATCAATTGGAAGCCAAGGTTAATGGTTTACAAGAATATGAGGAATATCAATTCCGCGTGATTGCGGTTAATAAAGCCGGACCTTCGCAACCCTCTGATGCAAGTGCCCCGCAAGTTGTAAAATATAAAAAATGTAAGTAAGATTTTATCAATAACTTAACATAAAACCACAAATATACAATTTATTAAATTTTTAGTAAAGCCACGCATTGATCGAACCAACTTGAAGCCTTTGCTTATTCGATCTGGTAAACCCATTAAATATGATGTTAAAATTCGGGGAGAGCCAGTTCCTACAGTAATATGGTATCAAAATGATAAAGAACTGAAACCAGAGGAATTGCCTTCTACCTGCGAGATTCAAAACATACCACACAATACAAAGATATCTATAATAGATACGGCTCGTCAACATTCTGGAATCTATAAAATCCGAGCTATAAATGAACATGGTGAAGATGAAGCAACAGTAGAAGTTAATGTTTTAGGAGCTCCAGGCAAGCCTAAAGGTCCCTTAAAAGTTGATAACATCACGAAAGATAGTTGTAAGCTAAAGTGGAAGAAACCCGATGATGATGGTGGAAAGCCAATAACTGCTTACCAAATTGAAAAGTTTGACAAAAAACAAGGTCGTTGGGTGCCAGTTGGGCGTATTCCTGGTACAGAGACTGAAATGGACGTTAAAGGTTTGCAAGAAGGTCATGAGTATCAATTCCGCGTTAAAGCTATAAATGACGAAGGAGAGTCTGAACCATTAGAGACTGATACTAGTATTATAGCTAAAAATCCTTACGATATCGCTGAAAAACCTGGTAAACCCACAGTAACTGATTATGATTCGCACTTTATAAAACTGTCATGGGAAGCGCCAAAAAATGATGGTGGAGCTCCTATAATCGGTTATGTTATTGAAAAGAAAGATAAATTTTCTCCCCATTGGGATGAAGTTATGTCTACTGATGTAAGTAATATAACCTTTTTATGCAGTATATTATGTATTTTCAAACTAAACATGTTCCATCAATTATAGTCACCTATTACTGAAGCCAAAGTTGACGGCCTCGTTGAGGGTAACGTTTACCAGTTTCGCGTAAGAGCCATTAATAAAGCAGGAGTTAGTGAGCCTAGTGTGGCTTCCGATCCACAGGTGGCTAAGCCAAGAAATTGTAAGAATATTCTTTTAGAAAAATCTATTTTATTCGCGTTTTGCTGTTCATGTAAAGCATAGACATACTGAAAAGCTTTTATGCCTTGACTAGTCCTGTGAATGTTATTTTAAATTTAAACTATCAATGAATTTTATTTTACAGTGAAACCAAATATTAATCGAGAAAAAATGAAATCTGTTAGAGTTCGGGCAGGACAAACCATTAAGTTCGATGTTGACGTAAAGGGTGAACCAGCACCAGCACTAAAGTGGACTTTTAAAGATGTAGAACTTTTGCCTCTTGAAGGGATTCGCATAGAAACTGAAGAGTATAATACAAAATTAACGTTATTTGATGTTACGAGAAAAGATAGCGGGAAGTATAAACTAAGTGCTGAAAATATTAATGGCAGAGATGAGGCTGATGTTGACGTTATTGTGCTGGATAAACCATCAAAGCCCGAAGGTCCGCTGGACGTTAGTGATATTTATAAGGACAGCTGCAAGTTAAAATGGAAAAAACCTAAAGATGATGGTGGCATTCCAATTTCTGGATATGTCATAGAAAAATTAGACACAGCCACTGGAAAATGGGAGGCAGCCGGTACAGTAGATCCTGAAAAAACTGAATACGATGTCAAAGGATTAGAACAAAATCACAGATACCAATTCCGGGTCCGAGCTGTAAATGATGAAGGAGAGTCAGAGCCGTTAGAAACGGACTCAGCTATAACGGCAAAAAATCCATTTGATGTTGCGGCACCTCCAGGTCTTCCAGAATTTGAAGATTGGGACGAACACCATGTTAAATTAAAGTGGGAACCTCCAATACGCGATGGAGGCGCACCCATAACAAGCTACACGATCGAAGTTATGGATAAAGATTCCGGGGAGTTTGTAAAAGCTATTGAAACTGAGGGGCCTATTTGTAAAGGCACTGTGAAAAAACTGGAGGAAGGTCAACAATATAAATTTCGTATTAGAGCTAATAACAAGGCTGGAGCATCTGAACCATCTGAGCAAACAAACTGGCATACGGCTAAACCTCGATACCGTAAGTACTTATTATTATATTGTTCAATACTTTTTCAAAATACGTTTATTTTTTATAGTTAAACCACATATCGATAGGAATAAACTGAAACCTCTGACAGTAAAAGCTGGTCTGTCCATCGATTTGGATATTAACATAAAAGGCGAACCTGCTCCAAAAGTTGAATGGTTCTTTAAAGGAAGCCCCCTGGAAAACGAAGAGATAAAAATTGAAAATGTTGACTACAATACCAAACTATTTGTAATGAGAGCAAAACGCCCAATGTCAGGAATATATACAATAAAAGCCAGCAATGAAGTTGGTGAAGATGTTGCTGATCTTGACATAATGGTTTTAGGAAAACCTGGTAAACCGAAAGGTCCCTTAGAAGTTGACAATATTACTAAACACGGATGTAAACTTAAATGGCAACCGCCGGAAGACAACGGTGGTGCCCCTATAGATTACTACGAAATTGAAAAACTTGATCCTCATACTGGTCAATGGTTACCATGCGGAAAAAGTTCCGAGCCCAATGCTAAGGTTACTGGCTTGCAAGAAGGAAAATCGTATAAATTCCGTGTTAGAGCAGTAAATAAAGAGGGCGAATCAGAAGATTTAGAAACTGACAAACCAATTATTGCGAAGAATCCGTATGATGAAGCTGATAAACCGGGTCGACCTGAGCCAACTAACTGGGATAAAGACTTTGTTGACTTACAGTGGGAACCTCCAAAAAGTGATGGCGGTGCCCCAATTGAAAAATATATCATTCAAATGCGCGATAAATCTGGAAGATCTTGGGTTGATGCTGCTATAACACCAGGAAATCATACTAAGGGCACAGTGACAAATGTTGAAGAAGGCCACGAATATGAATTTAGAATAGTTGCAGTAAATAAAGCTGGTCCGAGTGAGCCAAGTGATGTATCAAAGTCAGTTGTGGCTAAGCCTCGGCATCTTAAACCCAGAATAGATCGGAAAAATTTACAGAAAAAAACATTAAGAAGTGGTCAACTGCTACACATTGAGTCAATAGTAAACGGTGAACCCCCAGCAAGTGTGACGTGGACATTTAACGGGGAAGTATTGAAGTCAACAGATAGAATAAAGATTGAAAACGAAGATTACAAAACAACATTTATAATACCGAAAGTAAAGCGATCTGATAAAGGAGTTTACACAGTCACTGCCAAAAATGATTCCGGAACCGATACTGTTGAACTTGAATTAGAAGTTTTATGCAAACCAAAGGCACCCAAGGGCCCACTTGAGGTTTCTAACGTTACTTCAGATAGTGTTACCTTAAAATGGGAAAAACCTGAAGATGATGGAGGTCAACCTATAGAAAACTATGTTATTGAGCGTATGGACACTGAGACGGGAAGATGGGTTCCAGTTTTAACTACTAAGAGTCCAGAGGCACAGGTTTCTGGCCTGACTGAGGGAAAAGAATATATGTTCAGGGTAAAGGCTGTAAATGCAGAGGGAGAATCGGAGCCGTTGACCACAGATGTACCCACCCTAGCCAAAAATCCATTCGATACAGCCGACTCACCTGGAAAACCTCAAATTGTAGATTGGTCTGAAAATCATGTCGACTTAAAATGGAAGGTTCCAGATGATGATGGTGGGGCTCCTATTACGGGTTATGTCATTGAAAAAAAAGATTGCAATACCGGAAAGTGGCAAAAAGCATTGGAGACCAAGACTCCAGCTAATAGTGCACGAGTAAACGATCTGATTGAAGGTACCAAGTACCAATTCCGCATAAGGGCTGTTAACGATGCTGGTGAAAGTAAACCATCAGAGCCTTCAGACACTTTATTAGCAAAATGTCGGTTTGCCCCGCCTAAAATTGATCGGACAAATATTAAAGATATCACCACTAAATTTGGTACACACGTTCGTTTAGATATTAAAATATCGGGCGAACCTCCCGCAGTAAAAACTTGGTACCATAACAAAGCTCGCATCGAAGGAGATGACGTAACAATTGATTTGGAGCCATATAAAACAAAGTTTACAATTCCATTTGCAAAACGTTCACATACTGGAAAGTACACAATTAAAGCAGAAAATGAATCTGGTCGTGATGAGGCTTCATTTGAAATCAATATACTTGATCGTCCAGGCCAACCAGAAGGTCCTTTACGCATTACAGATGTTCATAAAGAAGGTTGTAAATTGAAGTGGAATCCACCTCTCGACTCAGGAGGCTTGCCAGTTGACTATTACATTGTCGAAAAAATGGATGTTGAAAGTGGAAGATGGCTTCCTGCGACACGTGTCAAGGAACCTTATGCAGAAGTAAATAATTTGGTTGAAGGGCAGGAATACAAATTCCGCGTTGTAGCCGTTAATACAGAAGGCGAATCGGAACCGTTAAACGGAGATCATTCTATAATTGCCAAAAATCCATTTGATGTCCCAGGTAAACCTGGTGCACCAGAGCCAGTGGATTGGGACAAAGATCATGTGGATATAGTATGGAAACCCCCAATCAATGACGGTGGATCCCCCATTACTGCGTACTCGATTGAAAAGAAGGAAGATGGATCGGATAAGTGGATTAAAGTATTAGAAGTACAAGCCCCTATTCAAGGTGAAGATTGCAAGGCTACTGTATCATATTTAGACGAAAATTGCAAATATGAATTTAGAGTTAGAGCCATTAATGCAGCAGGTAGTGGGGAACCATCTAATGCTAGTAAATCAGTAATAACAAAACCATCAAAACGTAAGCCCTCCCATTTGAAATTTTTTGACTTTATTAATAGTTTTATTTTAATTAGTTGCTCCAAAAATTGATAGACGTAACATACACACATACAACGTCAAATCAGGTGAATCTATATTATTGGATATAACTGTGGAAGGCGAACCAGCACCTGATGTTTATTGGACTCACAATGGAAAGTCAATCCAACAATCAACTTCCAGAAAGGTCGACAATGCTCCTTATAAAACGAAGTACAATAATTCTAATCTTGAACGAAAGGATACGGGAATATACAAAATTGTAGCATCAAATTTGTATGGCCATGATGAAGTCGAATTCCAAATCAATGTTATTAGTAAGTTAATTAATTAATTAAGTATGACCAAATTTATATAAACTTGTTTTATTTACAGCGAAGCCATCGAAGCCAGAAGGACCTCTTGAAGTCTCTGATATTCATAAAGAAGGGTGTAAACTTAAATGGAAGAGACCTAAAGATGATGGAGGAGAACCTATAGAGGAATATGTAGTAGAGAAATTTGATCCAACAGAGGGTGTTTGGATTCAATGTGGCAAGTCCGCCATTCCAGAATTTAATGTAGAAGGCTTGCGTCCGGGTTGCGAATATAAATTCCGTGTAAAGGCAGTAAACAAAGAGGGCGAATCAGAACCACTTGAAACGCTCAGCTCTATTATAGCTAAGGATCCATTTACTACTCCATCTGCTCCTGGAGCCCCAGAGCCAGTGGATTGGTCCTCTAATAAAGTAGAACTTACTTGGTCTGAACCGCTTACTGATGGAGGTTCCCCAATTATCGGTTATATTATTGAAAAGAAAGACAAATATAGTCCAATATGGGAAAAAGCTCTAGAAACAGACAACCCGCTTCCCAATGCGACGATAAATGGGCTTGTGGAAGGAAACGAGTATCAATTCCGTGTTGTAGCATTAAATAAAGCTGGATATTCCGAACCTTCAGAAGCAAGCAAATCCTTTGTTGCTAAACCACGCTTCTTGGAACCTAAAATTGATCGACGTTACCTTAGAGATATAACCGTATCTGCTGGATCTTCTATAAAATTGGAAGCTGTTATAACTGGAGAACCTGCTCCAAAAGTTGAATGGAGATATTCGAACTGTCCTCTACAAAACGGAAAAACTGTAACAATTGAATCTCCGGATTACTTTACAAAACTGGTTATACGGCCAGCGCAGCGGGAAGATTCAGGAGAATATGTTGTTACAGCGACAAATAGTTCCGGAAAAGATATCGTTAAGATTAATGTTGTTGTTACAGATAAACCGTCTGCACCTACAGGACCCTTAAGCATTACAGATGTTCACAAAGAAGGTTGCCACCTTAAGTGGAAACGTCCTAAGGATGATGGTGGTATACCCATTGAATACTACCAAATAGAGAAAATGGATGTTGAGACTGGTTGCTGGGTTCCCTGCTGCCGATCAGTTGAACCTCAAGCCGATGTCGTTGGGCTTAAATGTGGAAGTGAATACAAATTTAGAGTTTCGGCCATAAATGCTGAAGGCGAATCCGAATTTTTAGTGGGCGATGAATCTGTTATTGCTAAGAATTTGTTCGACGAACCCGATAAACCTCAAAATGTTCATCCAGTGGACTGGGATAAGGACCACATTGACTTGGCGTGGACACCGCCCAGTCATGATGGTGGATCTCCTATAACTGGATACATTATTGAAATGAGAGATAAATATGGACATTGGGAAAGAGCTTTGGAAGTACCATCAGATACCTTAAAAGCCTCGGTTAAAAATGTAATAGAAGGACAAACTTATGAATTTCGAGTTATTGCTGCGAATTCTGCTGGATTGAGCGAACCATCGGAAACAACAAACCCCATTACCGCCAAAGCTCGAAACAAAGCTCCACTTATTGATCGAACTAATCTATGCGAAATTCGCATTAAAGCTGGACAATCCTTTTCATACGAATGCAAAATATCAGGGGAACCTGCACCAAAAACTAAGTGGACTCATAACAAAAGAGAATTGTATTCAAAAGACAACATTAAAGTAAAGCACGTTGATTATTATTCAAAGATAAAAGTTACAAATGCTACTCGTTCAGATTCTGGTACATATACCATACATGCTGAAAATGAAAACGGAGTTGATTTTGCTGATGTGAAAGTAATAGTAATAGATAAGCCATCTCCACCTAACGGTCCACTCAAAGTTAATGAAATTCATGCTAGTGGTTGTACTCTAACATGGAATCCACCGGATGATGATGGGGGTCAACCAGTTACTAATTATGTTATAGAAAAATTCGATGAATTAATTGGTAGATGGGTACCTGCGGGAGAAACTGATGACAATAACACATCCTTTGAAGTAAAAGGCCTCACACCTGACCATAAGTACAAATTCCGTGTACGCGCAAAGAATCGCCAGGGAATCTCTGATCCTTTGACAAGTACACACTCTATTGTTGCCAAAAATCCATACGATACTCCTTCAAAACCAGGAGTACCAATTATTAAGGACTTCGATAAAGACTTCGTAGAATTAGAATGGACACGCCCTGAGTGCAATGGGGGTACACCAGTTACTGGTTATATAATTGAAAAACGTGGAAAATACGGTACAGATTGGGAACCATGTGCAAAAGTCGAAGGTGATAATACCAATGGTCGTGTTGAAGACTTAATAGAAGGAAATTCATACGAATTCCGAGTACGAGCTATAAACAAAGCTGGTGCTGGAGAACCAAGCGATGGATCTGCTTCCCATGTAGCCCGTCCAAGAAATTTACCACCAATAATAGATAAAAATTACATGTTAGATATAAAGATTCGCGCCGGTAATTGTTTTGAGTTTGATGTACCTGTGAGCGGAGAACCGGACCCTTCGAAAGAATGGTCTCAAGACAACAACTTTATTATAAATACGGACCGTCTAAAAATTGTGAATGAAATGCATAGAACTAAGCTACGTGTTATTGATGCAAAGCGTGCTGACTCAGGGGAATACACTTTAATTGCTCGTAATATAAATGGAATCGACAAAGCTACCGTAAAAGTGGTTGTTTTAGACATACCTTCAATTCCAGAAGGTCCACTCCGAATAGACGATATTACCAAAAATTCTTTGAATCTACATTGGCGCCCCCCTAGAGATGACGGTGGTTCGGATATCACTCATTATATTGTGGAAAAAATGGACACAGATGCTATGCGATGGATACCAGTAGCAGAGTGCAACGAATGTCATATTAGAGCCGATAATTTGATTGAAGGCCACGATTATAATTTCCGTGTCCGAGCAGTAAACAAACAAGGCGCGTCCCAGCCTTTACTTTCATCACAAGGAGTAACTATTAAAGATCCATTTTCTCGGCCCGACAAGCCCGGTCAACCACAAGCTGTTGACTGGGGTAAAGATTTTGTTGATCTTGAGTGGCCAGTTCCTAAACGGGATGGTGGTTCTCCAATCATTGGGTATGTCATTGAAAAACGGAAGAAGTTTGGTCAATGGGAAAATGCTCTCGACGATGTTACGCCTCAGAATAAGGCACGCGTTAAAAATTTAACAGAAGGTTGCGAATATGAGTTCCGTGTAATTGCAGTAAATAAAGGAGGGCGAAGCGATCCTTCCGATCCCACTGTACCTATTAAATGCCAGCCTCGGTTTGTTGCACCATGTTTCGATAAATCATTGTTATGTGACATAACAGTACATGCTGGAAAACATTTTGGATGGAACCTGCCCGTTGTGGCTTCACCTGCGCCAACAATAACATGGTTATTTAATGGAAAACCTATTGAACCTTCTGATCGGATTGACTCACAATATTTTCATAATGAGTTGTCTTTTGAAGTTTCAAATGCATTACGCACTGACGAGGGCAGGTATAGCCTTTTATTGAAAAACGAACATGGAACATTTGACGCATCTGCACATGTAAAAGTCTTGGATCGACCTGGAGTACCTGAGGGTCCCTTGGATATCACAAGAATTACTCGTGAAGGTTGCCATCTTACATGGAATGTTCCCCTAGATGATGGTGGTTCTCCTATACTTCATTACAAAATCGAAAAAATGGACATGTCACGTGGAACATGGTCAGATGTTGGTATCACAAGTCATCCTGTGTACGACGTAACAAATTTAACACATAAAAAGGAATATCTTTTCCGTATTAAAGCTATTAATGCGATTGGAGAATCTGATGGTTTAGTAGCTGATAGAAGCATTATTGCTAAGAATGAGTTTGATGAACCAGATCCACCAGGAAAGCCAATAATAACAGATTGGGATCGTGATCATGTAGATCTTCAATGGACTATTCCGGCGTCCGACGGAGGATCTCCTATTACTGAATATATAATTCAAAAGAAGGAGAAGGGAACACAGCTGTGGGTAAACTCCGTGCATGTACCACCTAATCAAACTTCAGCATCCGTACCCGATTTAACTGAGTATGCAGAATATGAGTTCAGAGTTATTGCAGTTAATAAAGCGGGCCAGTCAGAACCTTCTGAGAGCTCAGATATGATACAAGCTAGATGTAGATATTTAGCACCTAAAATTATTACACCAATGCGTGATCTTCGCTCTAAAGCTGGTCTTATTCTCCATGCTGATATATCGTATATAGGAGAACCTATCCCAGAAGTTATATGGACTTGCAATAACATTAATATGACAAATACTGAACGAATAAGCGTTAATACTGTTGGCTACCACACAATTGTTCATATAGTTAACTGTCAAAGAAGTGACTCGGGTCGTTATCACCTGATGTTGCGGAATGACTCTGGGATAGACGAGGGAGATTTTGACGTCGTTGTTTTGGATTGTCCAGGCCCACCAGTGGGCCCATTGCAATTCGAAGAAGTGACAGCAAACTCCGTCACTCTCTCGTGGAAACCACCGATCGATAACGGAGGCTCAGAAATACTATCTTATGTAATAGAAAAACGCGATTTAACACATGGTGGAGGTTGGGTTCCTGCAGTTACATATGTTAATGCAAAATATAACCATGCGGTAGTGCCTCGTCTTGTTGAGGGTACTCAATATGAATTTAGAGTTATGGCTGAAAATGCACAAGGTCGTTCTAGTCCATTGACTTCAGATCCCATCATAGCTAAAAATCAGTTTACAGTTCCTGGGGCTCCCAGCAAACCTCAGATTACTGATAGTGATCGAAGCTTTATATCCCTTAAATGGTCTGCACCCATTAGTAACGGAGGATCTCAAATTATTGGGTATGACATTGAACGCCGCGATATCCCTACCGGAAGATGGATTAAAATAACAAGTGTCCCAGTTCCAGCAAACAATTATACTGATGATCGTATTAAAGAAGACCATCAGTATCAATATCGAGTATCTGCTGTAAATGCTGCTGGTAATGGCAAACTATCAGACCCGTCAGACATATTTTCTGCAAAGCCTTTGCGGGAAAAACCGCGTTTACATTTAGATGGAATTTCGGGACGAAAAATTAAATTACGCGCAAAAGAAACTCTCAATCTTAATATACCTATCTCCGGTGCTCCTACACCGTCCGTCGAATGGAAGCTTAGAGATCTAAAACTTCAGCAAAATGTAAGGATATCCTACAACACAAATAATGAATGTACAGTTCTGCGTATAGAAGATATTCTTAGGGGCGATGCTGGAACTTATACTGTGACTGCTTCAAATGAATTTGGCAAAGATTCAGGTGATATTGAAATTATTGTAGTTGACAAGCCTACTCCACCCGTTGGTCCATTGACATACGTTGAACAAGGAAATGACCACATTTCAATGTCATGGAACCCACCAAAGGATGATGGCGGTAGCGAAATCGTGGGATACATTATAGAAGTAGCTGAATATGGCACCGATCTCTGGCGCCCAGTATCTGGTTATTGTCCAAGGAACAATCACACTGTAAAGGGCCTGACTGAAGGAAAGAAGTATATATTCCGAGTTAAAGCTGAAAACATATATGGTGTTTCTGAACCTCTTGAAGGTGCACCCATTGTTGCAAAATCACCATTTGATCCACCGGGTCCGCCAGGGCAACCCAAAGTAGTTGCTTACTCTCCGAACTCTGCAAGTTTGGAGTGGCACCCACCAGAATATTCAGGCGGAAGACCTATTACAGGTTATATAGTAGAACGTAGGGAGCGAGGCGGCGAATGGATTAAATGTACTAATTATCCAACCCCAAATACTAGTTTTACAGTGTTACATTTGCATGAAGGCGGTCGCTATGAATTCCGTATCAAAGCTGTAAACGATGCTGGACCAGGAACCCCATCAAAGCCCTCAGAAAGTATCACTGCAGAAGTACAAAGAAGTGTTCCCGATGCTCCAGATGCCCCTAACACTGACCGAATTACAAGAAACGGTGTAACAGTATCTTGGCGGCCTCCAAGACACGATGGTAGATCAAAACTCAAGGGTTATTTCTTGGAAATGAAAACAAAAGGATCGAATGCGTGGGAGCCTGTCAATGAGCTTCCTTTGCATAATACCGTGCATACAATAACTAAATTAAAAGAAGGCGATGAATGTACATTCCGAGTTATCGCTATTAACGAAATCGGTAAATCAAATCCTTCTAAGCCCTCACAGCCTGTAGTTGTTGAAGAGCAACCGAATAAACCTTGCATGGACCTAGGATCTGTTCGTGATATAGAGTGTCGTGCCGGTGAGGACTTTTGCATTCATGTACCATACATAGCTTTCCCGAAGCCTACTGCGCAGTGGCATTTCAATGATATCTTACTTCAAGACGATGGAAAACATTGCTTCCAGAATTTAACCGATGAAGCAGCTTCATTTATTGTTAAAAATGCAAGTCGAAATGATACTGGACAATATAGGTTACAGCTAAGAAATTCTTCAGGATTTGATGCGTGTACCGTTAATGTAAGGGTTTTGGATCGTCCTAGGCCACCTTCAAACTTACGTGCCGAAGAATTTGCCGGCGATGCCCTAACTCTATATTGGCAACCACCAAAAGATGACGGTGGTTCTCAAATCACGAACTATATAGTTGAAAAGAAAGAGAAATCGTCCTCAACCTGGTCAAAAATTAGTAGCTATTGCACAGTACCATTTATACGAGTTCGGAATCTTACTATCGGTAAAGAATATGATTTCCGGGTAATTGCTGAAAACAAATACGGAACATCTGATGCTGCAGTTACCTCAGAACCAATCCGTGCCAAATATCCATTCGATGTTCCTAGTGCCCCTGGCATTCCAACGTTTGTCGATTCAACAGAAGAAAGTATCACAGTGTCATGGCAAAAACCAAAAAGCGATGGTGGATCTCCTATTAGTGGGTATATTATCGAAAAACGGCTAATAAGTGATGATAAGTGGATTAAAGCACTACATTCTTTATGTGCAGACACGTGTGTTAAAATACCGAATCTTATTGAAAACGCTGAATATGAATTTAGAGTAGCTGCGATCAATATGGCAGGTCAATCGCCATACAGCACATCCAGCGATCCCATATTCTGTAGACGTCCACAACAATCCCCAAAAATAACGTCCGATTTATCGATTCGCGACATAAATGTTATAGCTGGGGATGATTTTCGTATAACCGTGCCATACACAGCTAGCCCAACACCAAAACCAACGTGGAACATAAATGGTCAAGATGTTGTTCAAGATGATCGCATTACGTTTACAACTAGTGAATACAATACAATATATCACAACAAATGTGCTAAACGCTCGGAGACAGGAACATATACTATAACCCTGTCTAATACTAGAGGATCTGATACAGCATCTTGTTATGTCACAGTCTTTGATAAACCAGGCCCGCCGCAAGGTCCTTTAACAGTTTATGATATTACACCGGATACTTGTACTCTATCATGGAAAACTCCCATAGATGATGGTGGATCTCCAATAACGAACTATGTAGTAGAAAAAATGGATAAGAGTGGTACTTGGATAAAAATAAGTAGTTTCGTAAGAAATATTCATTATGATGTAATGGGATTGGAACCAGGCCAAAAATATATATTCCGCGTCCGAGCAGAAAATCAATACGGCGTTTCTTCTCCATTAGAAATGGAAGACAGTATTACAGCGAAATATCAATTCACTGTGCCTGATCCCCCAGGGCAGCCTAAAGTTGTTGACTGGGACTCAGACAATGTAACATTGTTATGGTCACGACCAAGTAATGATGGTGGATCTCGTATTCAAGGCTATCAAATAGAATATCGTGATATTGTAAATGATTCTTCCTGGAATACATATGAATTCCTAGTTAAAGATACAAAATACCAACTTTATAATTTAAGAAAAGGATGTGAATATGAGTTCAGAATAAGGGCTAAGAACGCTGCCGGATTAAGCAAACCGTCAGCACCATCGAGTAAATTCAAACTGAAAGGTAAATTTACTGTTCCGTCTGCACCCGGTACACCACAGGTAATAAAAGTTGGAAAAAGTTACGTAGATCTTAAGTGGGAAAAACCCCACAGTGACGGTGGTTCCCGAATCACTGGTTATATTGTGGAACGCAGAGATATTGGAGGAGCCGTTTGGGTTAAATGCAATGACTATAATATTTTAGATACAACATATACCGTTATAAATCTCATTGAAATGGCCGATTATGAATTTAGAATTTTTGCCGTCAATGCCGCTGGTCGTTCTGAGCCTAGCTCGTGCACCATGCCCATTAAAGTATGCGAAGTTCTGGGAGGTGAAAAACCTGAATGGATTACTCGTTTGCAGGATAAAGTGGCACCTTTCGGTAAAGATTTTACTTTACAGTGCGCTGCAACTGGAAAACCGGAGCCAACAGCAAGATGGTTGCGAAATGGCAAAGAAATTCAAATGAATACTGGAAGATTTAGTTGTGACAATAAGGGTGGTGTGTTCAGTTTACATATACTAAACATACAATCAGGAGATGAAGGAGATTATACTTGTGAAGCTGTAAATTCATTAGGATTTGTCCACACATCAGGGTATCTTCGCATAGGTGCACCACCTGTTATACACAGATGTCCTGAAGAAATGTACCTACCTGAAGACGATAATGCGAAAATCAAGGTATTCTATGGTGGTGATCATCCAATGAATGTTCAAATATATAAGAACAATGAAAAAATAGTTGAAGAAGAAAACCATTTAAGAATAACTGTTTTCGATGATTATGTGACATTGTTTCTACAAGGTGTCTTAAAGTCAGACGCTGGTTCATATGAAATTGAATTTTCCAACGATTCGGGCAAGGCTTCAGCGCAATTTGTTTTAAATGTCACTGGTTTACCATCAGCACCTATTGGGCCAATGCAAATTTCCCACATTAGTAGACATTCTTGTTTACTAAATTGGCGCCCGCCATCTTATGATGGTGGACTCCGTGTGACTCACTATGTCGTAGAAAGAAAAGATACAACTTCACAGCATTGGATAACAGTGTCATCGTACTGCAAAGACACCTCTTTTAATGTTCAAGGACTAATCGAAAACCAAGAGTACTTATTCAGGGTTATGGCTGTAAATGGAAATGGTATGGGTCCAGCTTTAGAAGGTGGTAATCCAATAAAAGCAAAAGCTCCAATTGACCCTCCCTCTCCACCAACAAAACCTACAGTTACAGAAATTGGAGAAGACTTTGTTCATTTAGAATGGGGCAAACCAGACTCAGATGGCGGTGCTCATATCCAAGGATACTGGATAGACAAGCGTGAGGTTGGAAGTGATACTTGGCAACGTGTAAATATAACAATTTGTAATTGTACCCAAATATGTTGTCCCAACTTAATAGACGGACGGCAGTATGAGTTCAGAGTATTTGCCCAAAATGAAGCTGGAATTTCCAGAGAATCTGTCAATTCGACAGCAATTAAGATGATTGATCCTAAGGCTGCAATTGCTCCTGTAATTTTGAAGCCTTTGCGCGATGCACAATGCATTCAAAATCACAATGCACAATTTACTTGTACTATAACAGGTACACCAAAGCCCTCGGTTACATGGTACAAAGGTGCTAGAGAAATAACAAATGGCGCCCGCTATCGCATTTATAATGAAGGAGAGAACTATTATCTCAATATAAATGGTGTATTTGGTGAAGATGCAGACGAATATATTTGCCGCGCAGTAAATAAAGCAGGAGCAAAATCATCACGAGCGGCCTTAATAATAGCAAGTAAGTTAAAACAATCAGTTTAAATTTCTTTATTGATTTACGCAGTCGACCAACTCGACTTCGAAAACACATATATATATAGATTCTAGACATAAATATTTTATTTCTGTTACTTTTAGCGGCACCAAGACTAAATGTCCCTCCAAGATTCCGTGGAACAGCCTATTTCGATAAAGGAGAAAATGTAATAATTAAAATACCATTTACTGGCATCCCGAAGCCTCGGATTCATTGGATGCGAGATGAAGATAAAATTGAATCAGGAGGACACTATCACGTAGAAACAAAAGAACGTCATGCTGTCCTCACTATTCGAGATGGTTCACAGTTAGATTCAGGCATATATAGGATAACGGCCGAAAATGATCTTGGCACAGATACAGCAGATATTGTTATTCAAATTAGCGATCGACCCGATCCTCCTAGATTACCTGTTATAGAAAATATTGGACACGACTCATTAGCACTCAGCTGGAAGTCGCCGGCTTGGGATGGGGGTAGTGACATAACAAATTATGTTGTGGAAAAACGTGAACATCCCATGTCATCGTGGATTCGAGTAGGTAGTACACGTTTCACCTCAATGGCTGTTACAGGTCTTACCCCAAGCAAAGAATATGAATTCCGCATTTACGCAGAAAATGTGTACGGCAAATCAAATCCATCAGATATAAGTACACTAATTAAAACCAAGGATTCTCTTAACAAGAAACCACGACAACGTACTTGGGAAACTGATGAAAACGGGAAAAAAATCCGTGGAAAACCAGAAGGAATTGTAAAAGACTACGACTCTTTTGTTTTTGATATTTATACAAGATATGTTCCTCAGCCTGTGGAAATCTCTCGCGAAAGTGTGTATGATAAATATGAAATTTTGGAGGAAATCGGCACTGGCGCTTTCGGTGTGGTACACAGATGCAGAGAACTAAAAACTGGAAATGTGTTCGCGGCTAAATTTATTCCCGTTTCTCACTCAACGGAGAAAGATATGATTCGACGGGAAATTGACATAATGAATCAATTACATCACCAGAAACTCATTAACTTGCACGATGCGTTTGAAGACGACGATGAAATGGTGCTAATCCTGGAATTGTAAGTATTCTTTAAATTGGCGAGTATGTGCATGTAATATTTTTTTTATTTTTCAGCTTGTCTGGTGGAGAATTGTTTGAACGCATTACGTCGGAAGATTATCAAATGACTGAAGCAGAAGTAATTCACTACATGCGTCAAATTTGTGAAGGCATTAAATACATGCATGAAAAGAATATTGTGCATCTTGACATTAAACCAGAAAATATTTTGTGCCAAACTCGGAGGAGTAACAATGTAAAACTCATTGATTTCGGCCTGGCTACCCGCCTTGACCCTAATGAAACAGTGAAAATAACAACGGGAACAGCGGAATTTGCTGCTCCTGAAATTGTAAACCGCGAACCAGTTGGATTTTATACAGATATGTGGGCAGCTGGCGTTTTAACATATATCTTATTAAGCGGTCTGTCACCATTTGCAGGAGATAATGACGTAAATACCTTGAAGAATGTGAAGTCATGTCAATGGGACTTTGATGCAGATGCTTTTAAATATATATCAGAAGAAGCTAAAGACTTTATAAGGAAATTACTAGTAGCAAACAAGGAAAAGCGAATGACTGCGCACGAATGCCTTTTACACCCGTGGTTAACAGGTGATCACGCTGACCGTAACAAACAAATCCAACGTTCCCGTTACCTTGCATTCCGTGATAAACTTAGAATGAGAAACCAAGACGCCGGTAATTACGTGATACCTATTGGGCGAATTTCCGAATATTCATCACTTCGCAAACTTCTTATTGATAAATATAAAATATGTGACACCACATTTGACCGAAGGCAAGCTGCTCCGCGGTTTGTTATTCGCCCTTCCTCACAATTTTGTTATGAAGGACAAAGTGTTAAATTTTATTGTCGTTGCATAGCCACTGCTACACCAACACTGTCTTGGTCCCATAATAATTCCGAATTGCGGCAGAGCGTAAAGTTCATGAAGCGATACATCGGAGATGACTATTACTTCATAATAAACCGGGTTAAATTAGAAGATCGTGGTGAATATATTATTCGGGCAGAGAATCACTATGGATCTAGAGAAGAAGTTGTCTTCCTGAACGTACAGCCCTTACCCAAGGAACAGCCTAGATATGTTCATGAGTCCACTCCAGTACGAAGACGTGAACCACTTCCTTACACATTCTGGCAGGAAGAGTCTGAATCAGTGCCATATTTCACATTCCTGTTACGACCACGTGTTATGCAGTCACGTGACACATGCAAATTATTATGTTGCTTAAGCGGGAAACCTGTAGCATCAGTAAAGTGGTACAAAGATGGACGAGAGCTCAGCAAATATGAATACTCAATGACTCATTCAGACGGTGTAGTGACATTGGAAATAATAGATTGCAGACCATCAGACTCAGGAAAATACTCTTGCAAAGCAACGAATTGTCATGGAACTGATGAAACTGAATGTGTCGTTATTGTTGAAGGCATTTAGCCATTCATGCAGTTATGTAAAGATTGGTAATTCCTAGTTTTGCAAAATTTCAAAAATGTTAAATTTGCAATCAATAAAAATTGAAATATGTGTTCTATTCTCGCAAATAAAATGTTATTATTTTTTTCTAACTGTAATATTATACAGTATTAAAATTTATTATTTCGGCTATTGTATTATTACACATTAAAATCAGAGACACAACCTTACCAGAGACACGCCTTAACACAGAATTGAAGTGTAAGTAAGTAAGTGTAAGAGGATTCAATTAATTTAGCTATTATATATTGTCTTCCCGAAAAAAAATTGTGAGGTATAATGGATTTATGGATTTAATTGCGTTGGGTTGTGCTTCAAGGGCTTGTCTCCAAATTATAAGAATTGTTCATGGCGCCATTGTCTTTGACTCTCATGGCTATTTATAATAATAACCAGCAAGGAAAAGTCAAAGTCTATATGATACCCTATACCACTATGCATATTTAGTAGAGCTCCAGTAACAAATAATTTATATTTGAAATTTATTTGAAGTACATAGATAATACCACCTGTCAACCTTTGACTTTAGAGCAGTTAAAATTTCGTTCCAGAGGGAACTAATATATCGGAGGCATATTAAATTCTGAATCGATATTTTAAACCAAATAACATTGCTATAGAATACATGATATCATTTCTAGTAGGATTACATTAAAAAATGTATATCGGAGCCGACTACTAATTGGAAACGTACGTCCCACAATTCCATTGGGGCTGATATTGGCCATGTGGCGCACAATTAACCCGAAATCGGTTGAAACTATTCTTCCCAATTTCAATTGGATTCGTCCTTGTGCCAAACAAATATTGTTTGGAAAATTTCATCTCAATCGGATAATAAATGCGACCTGCATTTTGTTTACAAAAATACATGGACAGACGGACTGACTAACATACATAAATCGACTCAGAAAGTAATTCTATGAAGATCCCCAAAAATACCTATGGGTCTATCTCGCTTCCTTCTCCATGTTACAAACAAATGCACAAAGACATAATAACCTTGTCACTATTTGCTGTAGGGTATAAAAACAAAATAAATAAAAAAGCGTTAATCTTTAAATATCCTACACCGTGCTGTAAAGCAAAACAGAATATGATTTCACTATTCAAGCGAGTTTCCATAGCGCCAGTGTCTTTGACTCTCATGACTATTTATAATAACAAAAGTTTATAAAAACAAAACAAATAAAAAATCGTTAATCTTTAAGTATCCTGTATCATGCTGTAAAGCATAAAAGAATATAATTTAAATATTCAATCGAATTTCATTTATAACCGCAAATGTCACCAAAATCAATAGGTGAATGTAGTGGCGCATGAAGATTTTCAGGTGAAGGATATTTTATTGGCAATTAGGGATTGGCAAGATTTTTATGTACATTTTGTAATATCTCACAACACAGAACTACACGGAACACCTCGGTCCACGTGTGTTCGCCTTTGCTGCTTTTTGTTTCAAAACAGAAACAAACATTTTTTTAACTTAGTGCTTCGTTGTTTTTAAAGTTTTGTATCAGTATCGGTTATTTAGCAGTTTTAATAAGTTTTAGCCGATGTCACAAAAAGCAGTAACTGAGAACATAGTTGTTAGTCGTTTGTCATGGAAAAAATTTTTCATATTCAAGAAGGAATTTTAACATTTGGCGGGAAAATCTAGCCCTGGATAATGTTCGAATTCAAAGAACAATTTATGCTTGTTCTTTTCAACTTGTCCCCCAAATATAACCAAATTACAAAAAAATAGACTTTTTGGAGCTCTGTTTTTTTGTATTTTCAGGCAATAACACATTTGTTTTATGTAAAAATTTTCACTTGGTTGTTGTTGTTGTAGCAGTTTTAACATACTCCGTTGTTAATAATCAGACTAATCCGGCTCTTCCTCTATGTACAGGTTTAGGAATTTTGCTACCTTTATGGGCTGTAGCCAGAGAACCCCCGGACGGAGTTGGGTAGGTTTGGTTGGACAATTAAGCAGGTGCAGCGTATTGTGCCGGTCTGTATCGCACGTTGGGCATGCGTTCCGCACATCTTCGTCAATTCGTGCCCAATACGAATTGAGACGGCTACACCATCCTAAACGTAGTTGGGCCAAAACTACCCGGGTTAGCCTAGGCAGCCGACGTTCTTCAGCTGCAATGGATGGAGGTGGACTCCGAGGATGGCATTCATACTGTAATTATTAACTACCTCTGCGAGTGCTTCAGTATGAATGCTATTCAGACCTGCTTGATAGGCTTCATGATCTAGGGGCTCTCCCTTATATCGCTGGTCCTCCCTTTCTAGATCATGCAGGTCCTTCCTGACACGCCTGGATGGGGGAATTCTATTCACCATATAGTGTGACTCCCACGATAATACCCAAGCGGGTACTGAAACGAAAGCAAAAGGTTATGCTACCGTAGGGAAAGAACCTTCGTCTCCTCTTGTAAATGGTCCACAGGAGTCGTGAGGATGCACCCTGTTCTCCCCTGTTCTCAGGGCGGCATTCTGGAAGGTCTGAATACTTTTCCACTGCGTTGCACTCGTATTCGCCGACAATACTGGAGCCGCATAGCTAACCACAGACCGACCTCTCGCTTTATAAGAGGTCATCAAGGTTTCCTTATCCACACCCCAAGCGCTGCCCTTATTCGCACCAATACGTGTATACATGTTTGTTTTCACTTAATCCTCTGCTGCAAATGTCTCCATTTGAATATTCTCATTCGTGTTAGGATACCCTTTGTTTCTCCGCAAACTTTTTTATTCTGTAATCTTCTGTAACATCATTAAGTGCGTCATATACTTTAAAGCTATTTTTTGTAGTACACATACCCAGAAATAGTTATTAGATTATTATATGTGTAAAAATTATGCATTATGCTCGGATATTCATCCTGCCTTATTATTTGTCGTAAAGGGTGGTTCTTGCCAATGAATCACTTTTTTGCTGCAAATACAAGTGTGTTATTAAATTCGTGCTGTTTCAGACTTGAAATTGTTTTAATGAAGACAGAAGAAAACACCTATAGTAAAAAGGAAGTTAGGGAATTCAATTCGTAGCTGGCACCCTTCCTGTTCACCATACAAGTATACAGCAAACCAATCTCAGCTTATCCCACTTACTTTTCCTAACCCTTAAAAATCATACCTCCGAAATTGCTAGCACATATTCAAAAAATTAACATTTATAAAACTGATTTAATGTAAAGAGAAAAGTATCATATGATTAATATAAATGCGTGTGAAAAGGTAATACAAAATTTATAATGAATGAATGAATAAAGTACTCACAAGGAACGCGTTGTGCGGATTTTCAGACCATTCCATTGGAAAATGTGGCTAAAATTATCAAAATCGCGAATATCGGGGCATACCCTTATATGGTGAATATGCGATATTTTGGACCTATATAGACAATTCCCTTTCAGGGGATAACGTGCTCACAAGGAACCCCTTGTGTAGAATTTCAGACAATTCCGTCGAAAAACGAATATCGTGGGGGTACCGTTATATGGGGGACTTACGATATAGTACACCTATATACACAATTCTCTTTCAGGGGGTTAAGTGCCCACAAACAACTCCTCTTGTGGATTTTCAGATTATTCTATTAAAAATGTGGCTAAAATCATCAAAATACAGAATATCGGGGGTACCGTTATATGGGTTCTATACGAAATCGTGGACCTATATAGATAATTCCCAACCAAGGGATAAAGTACTCATAGAGAACTCCTTGTGTAGAATTTCAGACAATTACATTGAAAAATGTGGCTAAAATCATCAAAATACCGAATATCGAGGGGTACCGTTATATGGGGGTATACCATATCGTGGACCTATACAGACAATTCTCTTTCTTTCAGAAAACGATATTAATAGTAAAAGCACCACATTTTTTACGTCATCGGCTTTTTATTCCTTTATGGGATTCGATAGTAAACATATTGAATGTAATTGAATGAAATCAAAACATCGGCCAGGCCGAAATTTTTATACCCTCCACAATTTGGAAAGTAACTCATGTAAAACTATGTCCGTAAATGTCGAAATTCCAGTATACGAGGGGTACGCGTCACTACTGTGGGCTTCAGTCATCAAAATACCAAATATCGGGAAGATAGGGGCTATAGAAAAACTTTGACTTATATGGAAATTGTTCAATATGAGCAGAAGAATACATTGCGGAATACTCAAATTTAGTTTTAAGTAATTCCGTTAAAAAATATGTGCTAAAAATCGTCAAAATACCGAATGTTGAAAAATACCGAATGTTGAAAAAGATGAAAAAGTTTACCTACTCTAAATATTGAGAACTGACCCCAAATACATCAAAATACCGAATCTGTTACTGTAAAATTATATGGGCACTATAGGAAAATATATCTCAATCTTCTGCCATAGAAAGTAGAATATCTTACAGTTAGGAATGTTAAAAACTAATTAGGTAACTATATTTCACATTGATTATATCCCAAACTTATTTAGGTTTGGCTTATATTGGCTTTACCGTGGTATCCGAATATAAACCCATTAGCAAAACTATATTCATATGGAAACAATATATTTAATAAATAATATGAAGAAACTCACTTATAATGAGTTGTGTGAACAGTATTTCATTAATATATTCAGAAGAATGACGTTGTGCCTATGTGCAAAAGGAAATTAATTCATGTAGCAAGGAAATCTTTGATCGACTAAGTGAACATCCTCAGGAAATGCTTTCGCAAATATTACATGAAAGTTGGATATCACAAAATATCAATTGCTGAGAGCTTGTTTCATTAATTGCCATTAAAGCAACAGCGAACTATAGCCCATATCGTCCAAAAGGTATTGAACGCTAGTTGGACTAGAACAGAGCGGATCATAAAAAGTATTCCCACTCCAAGAGATGAAAACAAGTTTGCAAATGAAGCATTAGCAATGTTTTTGGATTTAAATCTTACAAGGCAATACAGATTGCTTCGATTAAAAAGGGCTCCCATCTGATCCATTTACAATTTAAGGAAGTACATGATCACACAGCTCAACGACTGCTACCATAATTTAAAGGAAATGAATTAAATCAGTCTGGAGTCTGCAAAATAACTCTCATTTGAAA